ATCTTACACTGGGACAAGCTGGTGTGTCTTATTAACAGATGAGGTGAGCATCATGGTGATTCAGCGGTTGGAGGCTTCCACTGTGAATGCTTTTAAGCCAGATCTTCAAGCTGATTTTAGGCTACAGTAGCAGTGTAAGAGATCAGCGGGTCAATTTCAGTGTAGAAGACACTGCTAATGTTTTAAACCCAAGTAAAAAGTAACAATTTTATGAACTTGTTGAGCAGTTCTAATATTGGTTTTAAAATAGGACAAAACAACACACATAATTTTCTAGGTGATTCTCATTCCACACTCTGTGTCACTGTTAGTAGCCTGCATGTTTCTCTTGTATCTGATGAACAACAGAAACACACCTTGACTTCTACAGAGATCAAGTGTTCTCTCCTACTGCAGGACAGGATCTGTCTAGCACATTTCCATAAACATGTAAAAACTAAAGCAATCTCAGTTTCTTGCAGGCTGGAGTAGGGTCACCTCCTCTGGATACAGCACACCTTTGACCCTACTCTGAGAGCAAAACCACACTCGAACATGAGTTTTCTGTTCCTGAGTTCAAAGAGACGCACAATTGTATTTTCCTCAAAGTGTTTTCAACTGACACTTGGCTTCTAATTGGAACAATCAATAAACAGGAGAAACAATGGCACATAGCATATAAAAGGCACCAGCAACTTTGTACAGGAAAGCCAATGTCTTCTGCAGATAGTAAGCCTCCGTTATTGTCTTGATGGATGGAAGAACAGTTTCTGTTTATCATATCCTAGGCTTTTTGTAATGCTTGTATTTATCTAACATTGAAACCATTGGGTATTACATTACCAAGAAACAAAGCAGGGGAAGATGATGATTATGGCTGACATACTGGTCTCAGGTCCTGAAGGGGTGGAGATTATCCTGCCTGATTTGCATTTTAGTAATTTCCATTACTGCATTTCTCTTCTGACCCCAAGACTAGTTTAGTTACCTGTGTCTCCCCAGTAAAACATGTCTGCTTGCGGACAGAGTTAATATAGGCTCTGTTCATGGATAATAAGCTTAAATGGCAGAACATCATCTTTCAAAGAGATGATGTTTGGGGCTAGGCTTTCATTATGAACTATACCATTTGTATCAGTCTCTGAATTTGGTATACAAAGAGGCTGCACATTCTTTGCAGTCTGAAATATTTTAAGAGACAGGTTTCCATCTCTGATGCTTCAGCAACATGTATCAAATTACTGATAATCTAACTTTATGATGTGAACGCAACTTTAATGGAAACCCACAAGAAGAGTGACTTTTGCAACTTCTGTCAATAGTTCAACATTGTATACTATCCACAGGGTTTCAGTTTCCCAAAGGGAACAGTAGCAAACTGGAAAGCAACACATTTCCTTCCTTTCATGAAATTATCCAGAGAGACTACCTGAAGGTTTTGGTTTAATATTTATAGAGCTGGGAAATCTCCTTAGGTCATTTTAATTAATGATAACAACTGAAAAGATAAGCTGGAGACATAAACGATCTCTTGGTCTGGACATTAATCTCCCACACAGTGATGCATCTCTTAGGTCAACAAGAACATTAGCTTAGCTTTCCCCATTTTATATGCATTTCTCAAAGAAGCTGAGTACTCACAATGTTGTTTAGTAGCTGATAATAGATAATATTAAATATCCTTGGGTAACAACAGGTTTTGAAATATTGGCAATCATGTATCAATAGAAGCCTGTAGATAGGTGCTCCCGGAAGTAGCAAAGGTGTAGGAATGAATGGATAAACTGGGCATGTTCAATACCATCTTTAGACTCTAAAAAAAACTGCAGACAGTTTGCAAAAGAGTTGATCTAAGGTTACTGTTGTGAAACCTCTGTGGAAACTGAGTTTTTGAGCAAGGAGACTCAGATATAACCTGAGATCAATCTAACACTGACATGGTTCACTGTATCGCCCACTGGTACATCGCATCTGGTCTTTCTAGTTGGAGCTCCCAAACTGTTTTTTTGAGACAGTAATGCTGAACTTAGTGGACTGCAACGTGTGATTTAAAGCCTCAATGACCTCCTAAAGAGTCTAGGGTACATCAAAGTTAAGAAAGTTGAAAAATTGGAGGAAAATTGATGAGGAATTTAGCTTGATCTGTTGGGGAAATATTTGTGGTTTATTCTAAAAGCAAGAAAATTCAGAAAAGAAGCATGTGGATGCATGCAACTTCAAATACTAGTAGGCTGTATTTAGACAAAATGACACAGAGCAAACCTGAATCATCTTTAAGATAACATCTCTTGAGCTATTCAAGCACACAATAACATAGCCCTTAGGTATAATCTCCTTGATGAGAAATTGCTGACCGTATCGAAGGCAAGACCTGAGTCTATCAAAGATTCAGATGGAAGATTTGCTGATACAAGCGTCAGTCAGCACTGGTGATTTTCATGTCTCTGTAGACAAGTAAAGAGATAATGATTCCCTTGCTTAAGACTCATGAACTTAGGACATTTGATTATGGAAAAATCCAGATGTCAGAACCTCAGAACTTGGTTGTTTGCCAGACCTTTGCCAGGGACCATGCAGAACACTGAGTAGAGAGTAGCATGACCCTCACCTTCCCATATCACATCCCACATTTGTTTCTTTCTCTTCAGTGTTACCTAGAGTGAACAGGATCCGTATCAAATAACGTGGATTGGTCCTTCCTAGTGACAGAGGCATCTCTATGGAAGATGTCTTCACAATCATTCACCGTTTATAGCTTCTTTTCAATCTCTTTCGTGTCTCTGTCACTCTACCATGTATACAAGAAACCCTCTTCTCTTTCTTCAAGATCCATGTTAATTCTAGGTAAAATCTACTTTAATATTCATTTGATGTATCCAATAGGACCAGGATGTTTAGGTACCATTACTAAGTTTTAAGGGGCAGAGGCATAAAGATGCCTAGCATAAAGATACATTGGCAAGTTTTGAAGAGAACATTTAGAACTATGATAACAGGCTGTGTGTGTGTGTGTGTGTGTGTGTGTGTGTGTGTGGTGAAGCAGGGCTTCACTCAATGTCCCAGAGTTCCTTTGGACTCACAAAGTTAGCGTTAGTCAGTGGTGACAGAGCTCAGAGCTCAAAAAAAACAAAAAAATCCCTAGGGCATTTGAAAGCATCTCAGGCCGTGACCTGTGCAAAGATTCTATTCTTTCTGCAGAATGTCAGCACATAGCAGGATTGATGAGGGTCTGATCAGCGAGAGGGCCACAAACAACATCGGGATCAACTTCTAATGCATGTTAGTGTGTGAATGAAGCCAGTTTCTTAATGAAAACCAGCCAAGCTTGAACCTCAACTCTAGAAAATAAGCTGATCAATGTCATTTGACAACAGGTTCATCCAGATGTAGCTTAACAATAGTAATTCCTCTGTGTGTTCTTTGAATCAAAGGGGGAAAGAAAAGAAAGAAGAGAGGGAAAGAAAGAATAAAGGACAGGGAGAAGGGCTAGAAGGAAGGAGGGAAGAAGTATAGGTAGGGAAGGAAGGATATGAAAACAACAGTCTGGAATTTAAAACATGACCCATGCATTGCAATCTAACCCAAACTGATAGTCCACAGGTAGAGCAGATCCACTCTGAAAAGGATGTTCCAAAGTGGATGGTAGATCCTTTTCATACCACAGAGGGGTGTGTGTGTGTGTGTAAATTTGAGTAGAGAAGCAGAGAACCTAAAATGAGGCTTTTAAAAAGCAAAACTAATGTCAGAAAACTGTCTTATTTTGACTATGAAAACTCTAGTGTGGGGTTACAGTCTGATAAAGGTAAGACTGGACGTCACTTAGAAAGAATTTCCTATCAAGTTCTGAAATATTTCACCCTTCTTCCCAGGGGAAAGAAAATGTCCTTTTAAGTTAGGGAAATAGTCAAGAAAGCAAGATTATTTTTAAAACAAGTGCTGCTCAAGGAGGATTGATTCGTTTCTTAAAAGAAAGTAATGAGATGAGTTGAGGCACCCAATAAAAATCCACGCAGGGAACAATGAATAAATCATCTGAAACACTCTTTCTGTTGAGTGTGGGTTTTAGAAGTGTGTGTGCAATGGAGGCTACACTGTAGAAGTGTGTGAAATGCCACCTGATGTCTCACTGGGATATTCCCATATGCCATTTCCTCACGATCTGACACATCTCCCAGAGCCCATCTGCTGTTTTAATTTCAATTTTAACACAGAATATGTCTGAAAAGTATGTTTATAGGAGAATAGTTTGTGATTAATCAGAGGTTTTGGGGGAACATTTTTCTGAGATTGCTTCTTTATATCTGGTAAGGAAAAACATACATTCAGTATTAAAACCCTGTGATCTTCAACTCCCCATGCTATCCATTTGCATAGGCATGAAAGTTATTTACCCCAAAGAACACATATGAATACCTACTCAGGTCTTTATCATAGCGGCCGGTGATAGAGACAAACTGTTTTGTCTTTGCCTTTAAAAAGCATTAAATCAGTTCCTACATACTCTGTATCAGGTGTTAATGAGTCTCCTTTACTGCTGCAAGGAAGTCAAGAGTGAACTCAGAACACTTAACCGCCACAGCAGAGAGCAGAGGGGTCACTACAGCCTTGACCTACCCCATTACCTCTCAGGGTTCACCTCGACTGCTGCTGCCTTGGAGCAGAAGTGGGACCGAGTAAACCCAGGAAGGCAGCACCGAGGTGAAGATACCAGGGACTCTCCCTCCTCTGGCCGGGGGCAACAGGGGACAAACAGGACCATGGTATTGCAGCTATCCCCCAGTGTGCCTGCGCTGAGCTCCAGAGAGATAGCTTTACACACCTTTAATGCTCTAGATAGGGGCCCGATGCTGCATGTCATCCACGTTAGCTACATCAAAGATGCTGAATACAAAAAAAAAAAAAAAACTTGCCATTAAACATCAGTTCAAACACACACACACTCACACACAAATAAAAATAAAAAAGGAGCTTTCAGTTACATCAGTTCATTCAACATTGCATAACACAAAAATCTTAAAAAGTAGCTTTCAATGACAGTGTGGTACTTTCAATATTTTCCATAATTGGCATCATAGATGTTGAAGATTTTTTTTCTGCAGGGAGGGAGGAAGGGGTGTGTAGTCTACCCAAATGCTAAGAGTGGCTCTTCGGCACATTGCTACTACCCAGGCAAATGGTCTTCAAGCCCACGGCATGGCACGGAGCTCCCTGGGATGCCATGGAATCCGAAAGTCAGAGTAAGGCCAGTTTCACTGCAAGCTGCAAAATCGCTGCTGTGTGTCTCACTGTCTGTTCTCTGTTTCATGTGTTCACCGAACAGTGATGACAGCCATTGCCCAGACTATAGCAGAAGGTCTCAGAGTACCAGGACTAGGCAGGTCCAAGGCAGGTGGAATCCTTGGGCTTCCCTGGGCAGGAATCGCTCCAAGTGCAAACAAGCTGTTTCCCACAGAGCCACCCAGACTGGAAAAGGTGGCTGGAGTCATATCTTCGCTCTGTGAATAACTGTGGACCCTGTGGGATGGGAGAGGGGCCTCTCAAATAAAGTGTCTGGTTTATTTTTTGTTTGTTTGTCTTATTTTGTTTTTGTTTGCAAATTAAAACATCATGATACTCTATACTCAAAAGCATGAATATGCTACATTTCTGAAGACACTTTTTAACATGGTTGGCACATTTATGAAATAAAACTCCTGAAAACAATAGGCCAGATAGAGTTTGGGATGAATACAATGCAAAACTCCATACCATGGCTCACTTTGCCACAATCAAATGTGTGCCACAGACCAGATTTTCACAACAGCACACTTAGGTGTGCATTTTTTTCTTTTTTTTGATAGCGATGGGAAAGTCCTGGCTTGAGATGCACTTGAAATGATTCTACACATAGTCTCTGAAGCCTCAGAAATATGGGCAGTCATGGAGCACAGCTTTGATGAGCAGAGAGTTTACAAGGAGCCAAAAGCATAATAGCTGCTAGTATTCATCATAATTGTTGAGATCTGTAAAGTAGGCGTTGGAATAGGTCTTCCCAGTGAGATGAGGGTTGAAGTATTTGTTTCTCTCCTCTAGGATCAAGTTGTTCTTGTTAAATGCCTGTAAAATATGTTTGAAAAAGATTTAGAATGCTCAGTAAATAGTGTTCCAAAGGAATAAAAGTGGGAGATGCTGTGTTGACTTTGAACTCCCTCCGAAAGCTCTATTGGTTTAGAAAGTATCTTCTCATTTACTGCCTCCTCAGCTCATTTGCCTCAAGGAAGACTTGGCTAATAACTGGATGAGGTTGGCTGTCTTAAGCAGCATCTGGCCTATTTCAGCACTTTAATCAGAAAGGAACCGAGGGAGGAAGGATCAGAAATCCAAAGTCTGAATTTCTAGAAAACCTCTAAGTCTAAGACTCATGCAAATTTATGTGCACTGCCCAACTTATGATCCATTTCCAGGGATACAATGATGTGCATCTAGACTTTCACAGAGAGCTACATTTAATTTTACTAATTCTTTGAAAATTTTATGAATGTATTTTAATCATATTCAACTTTCATTCCATCCTATTCTCTCAAATCGATTCCTACACCTCGAACTCTTATCTTAATACCCTATTTTAAATTTTTTGAACAAATAATCTAATGACTTTGATTTATGCTACCTATATACTCCTGGGTAGGAGACCATCTGCTGGAGCATGGACCAGGGGCCACACCCTTAAAGAAATCAGTCTTCTGGCCACAGAAGCCATCAGCATCTATCAAAGACTCTATAGAACTTTTTTGAGCAAGTGCATCTGACTCAGATACCTTAATCTCTTTTCATTCTACACTCACTATAAGGTGTCTGTTGTGGCCATCTGTGATTAAAGTCACATGCAGCTTCAAAGAGGTAAATTATACCAGGTAGAGAGTAAATGCTGAGAAGACAAAGAGAAGGATGAAACTGGGTAGGCAGCAGCTAACTTCAGACAGTCAAACAAAGTTATTGTAGGAGCCATTGCAGAGTAGGCAGGCATCTACACACCAGGGGAGCACACCTTTTCACTCATGGCAGTAACATTTCTAATATCACCTGAGAATGGGGCAATACACCCGAGGTGGCCATCCAGTTCAGTTTCCCACTTCTACCTAAAGTAGCAAGGCCACAGGCATGCTGACATGTTGGCATCAAGTTTCGTGGGTTTTGCTGTTTTGTTTCAAAAACTGGTAGCTCAGGATTTCCCTCAACACGATAGCTCATTTCTGATAGACTATGAATGAGTCCTCCATTTACGACTTTTTCCTTAATCCATCAATCATCTTTTCAAAAAGAGTTTGTTTTAAAATTTATACAACTTAAAAAAATCACACATGAAATATGATACTTGCTCTCCCTTTCCCCCACTCTAACACCCAATATTTTTCTTTCCCAACTTCATTTTTTTAAAAATAATGTTCAGTTAAAGCTGCCCATGTGTTCATGGGGTAGGACCATCTACCGGAAGATGGGAAACCCATCTTATAGACCATATCCTCAGTAAAGAGTGATTCTTCCTCTCCCAGCAACCATGCCCTACCAGGAACTCCTCTGTGTAAGGCAGGACCTGGAGAGCATCTATGCCCCCTTTGTGCTGGGGTTCTGTCTGCCTTGAGCTTGTGCAGGTAGTCATAGCACCTATGACATCATGATTGTGACAGCCATCTCATATTCAGAAGACAGCACTTTACAGAACTCCCCTCATCCTCCTGCTCTTACATTAATTTTGCCTCCTATTCCACAATGTTTCCTAACCCTTGGTGTGGTATGCAATACATACTCTCATAAAAGGGATGTCATTTCAAAGTCAGCCATCACAGCAGGCAGAGGCTATGCCAATGTTTGCTAAGAATGTTAAGGGAAACAATTCACTCAACAATAATACAGAAGTTTAGTCAGTTTTGGTTTAGGAGAATTCCCTTCATGAGCATAGAAAATAACAGAAGATGGGTACAGCAGACGAAAGCCTCCTTGTGCTTCTAGCTCTATTCTGACCTCGTGTGCAAACAAAGTAAAACAGAAGCTGCCATGCTGGCCCTCGGGTAAGGTAATGGTGCATACCTCACAGCAACACCGAGGTATGCCCCACCACACGCATTTTACATAAAAGTATACCCAGGTTGAATGGACGTCGGGTCTTTTCCTGAAACGGACATGGACATCTGAAGGCCGTATGTGGTTGTATTATTACTGTTCATTCAGTCATTTGGTCCTTGGTTGAAAGCACTTTTTTGAAAGACTGCTCTCCAAAGGCAAGAAGCACAAATCCAGCATAGCTAGACACTATCCAGGGCTAACTATTTGCTGGCATTTTATATGTCATTGTTTTCTTTTTAAAACTATTCTATACGATTCCCTCTACTCTGCCAAAGGTTTGGTTATGAGTCTTAGTATCTACTTTGAAACTCTGCTAGGTGGAGTCTTTCAGATATCTTCTACTGTAGACTCCTGTCATACGTTCAATGCACATCCCATTTGTCTTTCTAAATGAGGATTGATCATCATGCCCTGTGTCTACTTTCTTGATTATCTTCTTTAGGTGTATAGATTTCATTATGTTTATCATATCTTGTAAGTCTATATATAAGCGAGTATATACTGTGTTTGTCTTTCTCCTTCTGAGATACTTCACTCAGAATGATCTTTTCTAGATCCCACCATATGAAAGAAGGGGAGTTAGTATGATGTGGAAAGTATAGGAGCTCCACAAGGACCAAATATATCTGGACACAGGGGTCTTTTCTGAGACTGACACTCAACCAAAGACCATGAGTAGATATAACCTAAAACCTCTGCTCGGATGTGGCCCGTGATAGCTCAGTAACCAATTGGTTTCCCATAGTAAGGGGAACAAGGACTATTTCTAACTCAATGGCAGACTCTTTGACCTCCCCACCTCCCAAGGGAGGAGCAGTACTGTTAGGCCACAGAGGAGGACTTTGCAGCCAGTCCTGAAGATACCTTATAAAACAGGGTCAGATGAAAGGGGAGGAGGTCCGTCCCTATCAGTGGACTTGGAAAGGGGCAGGGAGGAGATGAGGGAGGGAGGGTGGGATTGAGGAGGGAATGAGAGAGTGGGATACAGCTGGGTTACAGAGTTAACAAAATGTAACTGATAAGAAAATTAAAAAAAAAACTATTCCAACAGGAATAGACAAATAAGAAAATAAACCTCCAAAGACCCTCTCTCTGCCCCCCAAGAATATCCAGGCAGTACTTTTAGACTTCCTACAACTACCACAGGGGGTACTCCATTACCTACAGGCTGTCTATACTCACCAGAGAGCACCCATCCAAAACCCAAAGGTCTGGGGTGCCTGGGCTGTGTCCATCATCAGTGCCACCATCCTGCCTTGTTTGCAGCTCCAGTCACCCACATTGATGGCCCACCTGGCTGCAGCTGTTCCTGCAGATTCCTTACCTTGATGGCTTCCACAGAGTCATATTTGTCCAGTTTGTTGATGTGGTTAGTGATGCTGCTGTTGAGAGCAGCAGGAGAGACGGGATGGATGACAGTTGCGTCATGGGACTGCTGCTGGTAGCGCTGGCAGTAGGTGTAGACAAGCAGGGTAAGGAGGCAGCCGAGGATGGAACTGCTGAGCCCCACGGCCATCATGTGGAACATGTTGAATTCTGTGGAATAGGGCCAGTGTTATACAGCTGAGAAAAGCATGCTATTTGACTCATAAAGTGCCCAGGACAAAAGGAGGTGCTGCATATCAAGAGGAACAGATGTCACAATAGTTTGTAGCCTAGTTCAGACTAGTGTTCTCATAGATTACAGCCGTTTCTTCAAGCCCTGTGAACACTGTTGGTGTTACAAGTGAAATACATTTGCTTTTCTCTGAAGCCCTCAGAGAGCCTTCAAGAGCACAGTGACCACTGGCTTGTGTGCTTTCTGTGGAAAGTATGTCTGTGGACTTTAACAGACTGACCATACATCTCTCTAGCAAGGCTGAAGCCTATGAATGATAATTCACTTGGGGCTCTGGATTGCTGCACTCCCGTTAGGCTATTTCCTCCTCTCTGTTTCATTTTATTTAAAAGGTTTTCTATTTACATGAATAGAAAGGGTCTTGTGACCCTTTGTGTGTTTACTAGGCACCTATTTTCTTTGAGTTTTTCTCTTGAATTATGGGGAATAAATATTAAAAAGTGAGCTTCAATGATGTCTATCTCGAGAACAGGAGTGGTTTGATTGGCATCCTAGCAACACATCAACAGTTCCTAAATGCCTAAGAAACAACCGTCTGGAAACCTCCCTCATTGTTGGGAAAACACTGCTGTTGAAGTTCCCAACCTTCCCGCAGCACTCAGAGCAGAACTAAGTGAGAGTCCCATCAAGCAGAATGTGGCCCCCTTTCTCCCACCATGCCCAGGCACTAAGAGGACTAACTTCACCCAGGTTGTTAACCTCATGTCCTCACAGCTCAGCAAGCATTGTTAGGACCGCTGCTGCCTCTCATGTGTGTCACCAGGGCATGCAAAATCACTTAGTGGTTTCCCACAGTCTGTCAACCCCAGAACCCAGTAGGACCTTGGGGGAACTACTGAGCATCAGAATGGACACAGAGAGACATCCCTGACTGTAAAGGAAGCACTTGGGAGCACTAAGGAAGACATGTAGATGTGCCTGCAACCCCAGGACCTGGCATCCTTCCTGGGAGTCTGCAGAACCACCTTCCCTATTGTCTGTGCCTGTTTCTGACACCTACCACTCAGCAGAAGTTCCACCCCAGCACCCTCCCAGGTCTGACACCTGTCAGAAGATCACTTGCTACTAGTCACCAATGGATACTGGACACTGGGGCCTTAACGCTCTATCAGAATCCCCAGCCCCAGCCCAAGTCCCAGGTCAGGGAGCCCTGGAGGGCAGGGGGAGCTGAGCCAGGCATGTCTTTAGGGCTGTGCTACATGGTAGAGGTTAAAGATCTCTCACATGCCCTCTGATCCCGAGTTTTCCCTTGTACCTGGACACTATGTTCTAAGAACTTGGATACCTGTGAGATTGGCCTCCCTTGTTGGTTTACTGTCAGCGATGATCTGTTGAGCACACATTTCTAGATGTACTGAGATCCTAAGCAGGCAGCACATTTCCTGCCATAGAAGTCCACAGCACCAACGGCTGGATAATGTATTGAAAAATTTCTACAAGAATCGTTCAATAGCAATACAATAGAGGGAAGTCACAAGCCTTGGGCATTTCTTGCTTTGTTGTGGAGACTGTGATGGGACAGGGCTCTCAGCATGTGACCACTGCATGAAGCATTGTTACCCTTTCCACCAACAAGCACTAGAATTGTGTTGTTTTTTCCTGAAGATTGTGGCTGCAGTGATAAGCAAGGCTGATCTCACACAAGCTCTCATCTCTATTCTAGCTGTCAGGACTCCTCTAAGTCAGTGCCACATACTGATAAAAAAAAAAAACTTTTTGCTGCACTGATAACTCATATTTCATTGTTACATATGGAAGACGTACAATGGTCTCCGTATGCAGATGTGCATCATTAATCAGATGAATTATTCCTGCAGGTGCCTGGGGAGGCTGTGGCCAGCTGACATCTTTATGACGAGATTATTCAGTCTTTGTGTCTCCTGTAACTAAGAATAGCTAAGCTGCAAGAAGTCTCGATAGGAGCACATTTCTGGCAGAAAGAATGATAGCGCCGTCTGTATCTCTTGGGATTCTGCACACTGTGGCGCTTTACTAAGGAGATGTGTTGTCTTTTTAATCTTTACTTATGTATGGTTTGTGTGTGCATGGTTGTGCATGCCCATGTGCTCATATGTATGTGCAGGTACCATGGCATGTGTATGGAGTAGGAATCAGAACTTTTCTTTCACAAGAAAGGACCTTGGGATGGAATGCACATCATTAGTCTTGGTGGCAGACACCTTTCCCTACTAATCCCTGTTACTAGCCCATTTTTCTCTTGGGTTTTGGACAATAAGGCTAGAATGTAGACCAACCACCCAACAGTTGACTGATTTTTAACCAATGGAGATAAAACATCTATTAAACATCCCCAAACACTCATGATAGGCAATCAGTTTTGTTAAACTCATCAGCTATAGTCTAAGATCCATCTTATCTGCTCATGCTGGAACATCAATGCCAGTAGCTTAAAGGTTAAAATTGTCAGTTTCTTAACAATGAAGAGTAATTATAGTTTCTGAGATTTAGCCAATAATATCACTAGGTTAGAAGCTAGACTTGTTGAAGGCCTTAAAGGAATTGCACGACTCACCTGTCCTTCCAGAGGGAACAGAAGTTGAGAGACTCTGGCAGCAAGCCAGCAGTGCCATCTATGTGACCCTCCACCTTTCTGATGATAGAACATACCTTCTGCACTGCTGCATTTTTAACCTGCACTCCCTTAAGGTCAGATTACCCTTTGGTTTGAATCATAGTGTCCCAATGGGGCTGCTGTGGAAGATTTGATATCTTTGAAATCATATCTCCCAGGGATCAATTGGGACTCCTTTTCCACAATGCTTTCAATCTTCTGCTGCACCCTGCTGCCAGGACAATATCCCTAAACCTATTACTTATGACCCACGGACCCATGGACCTGGGCCAGTAGCCTTACTCACTGGGTTCCATGGTCCCTACCTATACACTACAGACTAAAACCTATGATTACTATCCTTTTAGTACAATTACCAATATAAAATCCCCCCCAAACTGTTATTCTCCACTCAGCTGGCTGCAAAATGTGACAAGCTGATTGATTCCTTTATCCCATATCCGATGGCAGCATCACTAGAGGGACTGATTCTGAACAGCTGCAGAACCCATGCTGGCTGAACAAGATTAGCACATGATCTAAGTGTCCCTCCTGGTATGGGAAAAGGTTGACTTTTCAAAGCCTGTCTCCAAGTCTCTCACACAGACAACTGTAGACTGGGGCAACTTTGTGAGATGCCAATGGGATACATCTCTAGAAGAATTTAGTGGAGTGTCTCCTACACCACGACCAATATGAAAGGATGCTCAGGGGCTTCCCTGCCCTGCCATCCTCATTCAACAGGACAACAGCCCAGAAAGATAAAGGATATAACAAGTCAAGGTCCCAACAAGAGCTCTGTTAAACAGGAGAACTCACCTCCACACCTTTTCTCTTCTACGCTGCTGGATCTTGCCACAGACACTTCTGGAAAAAAGAAAAAAAAATCTAATCACAATGCACAAAGGAGGTGGGAGGAAAATTCACAACCATGCTTCACTCGCAACCATCAATGAGTTTGAATCCAATATTAGTCTAAAATTCAAATGCTCAGTTAATTAGCACAAGTGCTAACTGTTTCTTTGTGGACGTGGTTGTGCCACCCTGACTAGGAGGCTATGGGCTTCAATATTAAAGAAGAAAATGTGACAATCTCTCAGGCTTGAAACAAGAGCAAGTACTGGCTTCTGCTATGGCATGTCCCATTGGCTAAAAGCATCCTGAATTAGATTGTCTTGTACTGTTTCTCTGTTGTTGCATTCTTTATGGAATAAAAAATGAGTCACCAGAGCTCAAACAAACACCCCCCAACAACAACAAACTGTCTTCAGGAGTCAGTTATTCTCTTTCTTGTGCCACAAGTGAAATCCACAGAGTGTGAATGAGATAGAGGTCTTCTGATTGTCTTAACCTCCTGGATGTTTGGAAATGTCAAACTTTTCTGCACTGATTTTTCATTGGATAACAAAAACTGAAAGTATGTTAAACAGAAAATAACGCTCATAGGCATATGTGCTTCAGGTGCCTTCTAAGGGTAGGCTAACGCTAGCAACTCTGTAGAATATTACTATTGTTTCCGCAAGTCAAAAGAAAGGAAGGAACAGTGCTTTATGACATAATCCTATTATTTCCTCACAATGCTTTGGGCTTGGCTTTAGTCTACATCACAGATGCACAGAGTTGGTCTTCAGGGTTTTACACACATGCAGAGCACCACACCTACAGAGTCAATTCAACAAGTGACTGTCCCCTATGATAACTAAATATTGACTTTCCATTAAAAAAGGGAGGCTGCAGAAAGAGAGACAACCAACCTCTTTTTCAAGGCAACACTAATGACAGACATATATGTTCCCTGCTTTATTGAGAGTTACATGAAGAGAATGGCCCTTTTTTGTGCAAAATTGTACACCATATTGTCATAGTAAAGTGTTTAATCTGATACTAAAACAAGCAGTTTTCACCTTTTTTAGTAAAATCCTCAGATTATATTAAATCAATAAATTATATAAGACATTGTGCTAAGTCCCAGTCTAGTTACCTATAAATCTATATTCTAATCACCTTGAAACCACAATAGTTGATAGTATCAATTTTAATTCAGCAAGACAGCCTTAGAGAGAAGATAAAAGCATGACCCAAGGGGTCATTTCCTCTCTGGATATTAGAATGCCTATTTTCACACTGATAAACATCTCTACCCTTACCTGGGATGAAATTAGAGTCAAACACACATGGCCGGCTCTCTGTGGTATTTCCGGAACACTGGCTACCCACAGGAAATAGAAGGATACACTGACGAGCACGGACCTGGGTGCCAGATGCATCGCACACAGACCAGTTGGACCACTCTGACCAGCTCTCTACAGAGACCAGAAGAGGGCAGAGACAGGGTTACCAGATTATATCAACCAGCACAAAATCACAGTCAAGTCACACTTGACTTTAGGCTTTCACCTTGTGTTTTGAGAATTTCTATGCATAAATAAGACGTGGCCATAGTTTCTTACCAACCCAGTATATAAACACACATGAGAATGAGAAAAAACACTAATTAATTTTAACCAGATATCATGTATACAGTGTAAGTGTTCTAAATACCATATAATTTCCATGCTGTTGAGTAATTTTATTTAAATAGTCAACAAGCTAATTCTTGAGACAAACATGAGCTCTGGAAGCCAGAAATCACCAATTCAGACACCTAGAGATCAAGTCCCCTACAAAGATGCGCTTAGATTATTTCCTGGACATTTCTCACAAGACCTATGTTACCCAGCGCTGCATACTAATAGGAAGTCCCTGGTTTCTGAATGAAAGTTTAAAGCATCTTTATTCTGCAAAGTCACTATGCCAAAGCCAGGCAAGCCATGAAACGTGGATCATTTTACTCCATGCCTTCTGACATGAATAAAGTCATGTCCTGGGCCAAGGCCAAATGATGAGCAATGAAAGGACACTTCTCCTCTAATGTTGAGGACTTGACTTTTCTATCCATCCAGGTGTGCAGATGTTCAAAAATAGGAATAAGACCTGTATTTCAATTAAGAAATGACCTCTCATTATTTATTCACCAATATATTTACCAATATAAGAAAGACATTTTCCCATGCATTCTTTTTTTGGGGGGGAGGGAATCACCTAGAAATTCAGGTTGCTCATTAATCAATGCAATGGAATGATTTTTTCTCTCAAAGGCATACATGACTGATTTTTGGAATGATTATTAGATTTTGAGTCATTTATTGTCCTTAGAACGAGGTATGCAATTAGAGTAGAAGCAGAAACAGTAATTTCTTGTTAAGAATGTATAGTACTCTTTGCTCTTAACCACTTTTCTTTCCTTTATCTCTTCTTTTATACGTATTCCTTTAAATATACTTTTTTTCTTTTAAGAAAGGTCTGTGTACATGTGAAGAAAGTGTTTTACTGTCAAAGTTAAATCTAAAAGAGTATCCTGTTTTCATCCCAAGTCGACTTGCATGTCAGAATGCCAGGTTACTTCCTGGGTAAAGGGCTGTCTGGTACATCCTACATCAACCACAGGGCTCAGAGCTTCTGAGCCATGGTCCTTGAGAGGCTCATTTCCTGCTTGGTTTGCTGTAATCATGATAGCTGACTGGACTTCATTCCTTGTATTTTCTTTAACTGCATCTACTTTGAATACGGCCTTGTTTAGGGGGTGAAGTGTCCTCCCCTGGAACATTTCTGGATTTGTTCCAAGCATATCACATAAGCTGGGCTGGGATAGGATGTGAAACAGGAGCCACAAGAGATTCCCCTTTTAGTCCTGCGCACCAGCTTGTGACTTTCCAAATGTTTTTGTTTTCCATTTGTTTTCCATAATCTTCTCTCACATCCAGCAAGGTACTACTTGAGAGTCATCAGTGACCCTTATCAAGGTCAGTCAGAGTACAATGTGAAAACTGTTTTGCCGTAGAACAATGTGTTATTATATCACACTGAGGGCAACAGTGTGAGGTAGCCTTGCCCTCCTTTCTTGTATCCGCACTACTTCCTGTGACTTGCAATCTTTACTTCATAACTAAGAAAGGCGAGTTTGCCCTACAGCTGTGTAGTAATCAGTTCTTCCTGTACCTGGGCAGGTCTGTGTGTTGCAGAGCGCCTCCTCAGTGTGCAGTCCCAGGCAGATGTCCCCTCCATAGGCTGGGGCTGGGTTAGTACATGAGCGGGTTCTCATGTAGTGTCCACCTCCGCAGGTTGCAGAGCATTTAGACCAAGATGACCAGCAAGACCACACACCATCCACTGGGAAAAGACGTAAAAACAAAGAACTTCTGAAGTCCCCATTAGATAAAGATGACACACCCAGACATAGGAAATGCCATATAGAAGACAGCAAAAACCACTCATGGTGTGGGGGCATTTGATGTTTCCCACTTGGTGGCAGATACAGATCTGAAGCATCTTTCTGATGCTTTCTGGTTCCCTTGTCTGTTCTTTAGGAAATATTTCTAAACATAATTTCTAAGCAACAGCATGGCACAGACTTTCAAAGTAAATGATTTGAAGCTTCTAGTCCCGGAACCATGACTCATGTGTCATAATAATTAATCTGAAGAACCTAACTAGTTCTCAACTTTGCTGTTTTTATTGTGTAGATGGCTTGAAAAGACCTGAAGCCAATGATCAATAATAATGCAGGCAACAAACCTCCTTAAAATTCACATAATTCCAGCCATCCATGTTGGATTCTGCCCATGGCTTGAGTCGTCATTTAATGTATCCTAAGTAAGACCACTTCTTGGGAAGATCAGACAAACACCCCAAAGCTTAGATCTTTATTTTGCAATTTGTAGTTTGCAATTAATTACAAAGAACTATTTTTGTTGTTGTTGTTGAAATGAAAGGTATATATTAAATAGCTCAATGAACAAGGGTAAAAAAAATTCATTGTTCTTGCAATTCCAGTTAAATACTCAACTGTTACAAGAAGATAAAAACAGAATAGTTAGCAGTGATGAAGAGAGTGAGATAAAGTGGCATAATTAACCCCTGAGTGCCAGTTACACTGTGGGTGGTCAGAGAAACAAAGTGAAGCATTTAGAACTCCTGAGCTCATCCGAGCTCATCCAGCAAGGAGGTACTGGTTCCACAGCATACTGAAACATAGACTGTAGAGGTCTAGAGGTCTACAGTAAGGGATGGTAGGATGGTTTCTCCTCTAAGGGAGCACTAAGTAGAAGACCCTGTACTCTCTGTCTCCTGCTGTGAAGGTCCCAGGACATAAGGATACTACAGATAGAAAGCACAGTGTCTCCAATGTAATACAGGATTTTGCATTGTTCTCTGGAAATAATATACCTGCTAAAGTCCCCATTTTGATTCACTATGCCGCCCTTCCATCAGAGTCTCAGTGTTCCTTCTCCCTGAACCTTATTGTTTCCAGAAGAAAACCAAATGGAACCAGCTGGGGTTTATGGGTGTCTAAGCACAATGCTGAAGTTGTTTTCACCTTATTTGAATATACACAGCAACACAGAACCATCTGTTATCTCTAGCTTTGTCAGTTGAGGTCTGCAGTCTGGAGTCTTTACAGCTGCATCAAATGCCAGGAGTAAAAAACATGAACAGAAACAGTCACGTGCCTTTCAGTGTTGAGATATATTATGCAGGAGCAAGTTCAGAAGGTGAAGAATAACCATTTTACTATGTGTTCGACTTTATTGTTTGTTTACTTGCTGTGTTGGTGCTATAGATAGAAACAGAGCCTGCAGAATTTGAGGTAAGCATTCGATTGTTCAGCTACAGCCCCAGCAAAGCTATGCCCTCATTGGCTTGTATGCAAAGGTCAGGGTAGGAAACTGGGAGCCTTCCTCTATCATATTCTCTGTCTTATTGCTGTGAGATAGGATCTTTTACTCAGATCATCATTTTGGCTACCAGCGAGCTCCTGTGATCTGACAGTCCCTGCTCTCAGTGCCAATGTTGCAGGCACATGCAGATGTGCCCATTTGTGTGGATTTTGGGAATTCAAACCTAAATCTTCATGCTTGCATAGCAAGTGCTCTTGTTTATTGGTCTGTACGCAGTCTCTGAGAGCATTAAGAAAGGTGATGCTGCTTCTTGTAACTGTTCACTAGAAAGCTAGATGGGTTAAATATATCAGTGTATCTGGGCACAATGGCACATGCCTTTAATCTCAGGACTGGGGAGGCACAGGCATCTGGATCTCTGAGTTTGAGACTAGCCTGGTAACAGAGCGAGTTCCAGGAGAGTCAGGACTACTTAGAGAAACTCTATCTCAAAAACAAACAAACAAATCAGTTTATAAGGAATATGATGCCCTAAATTAGGTTAAAATTACCCTAAGCACGGCTTCCTTTGGATGTACAGATCTGCCTACAGAATGCAGAGCTGTACCATCTCATAGCTGAGTTTCAGGTTATCACATTTTTAGGAACTTTGTAGGAGATAGGAGAAAAAGTTGATCTTCACACATTCAGCCTTGAATTTTCCTAGTGCCTGGTGGAAAGACGTCGACAATTCCATAACAGAATCTTGGCTTTTTAAAGAAAATGAGGACAGAGTTATTTTAAGATATTCAGGCCATGTACACATAGTCCTGGCTCAACAGAAAGTCAACAAAAATAAAATTAAAGCTACCCACAGATGATGCTATCAAAGTGTCCCTGATATGGACAAGAAACATTTGCCCTGAGGGACCAAGACCACATCCAAGCATCTCTAGGAATGTACATGGGTTAATAATGCACATAAGAAATTAAGTTTGGAGTCTAAGAAGAAGGGGGTGGAGGGAACTTGGCATTCCTATGACATTCTCCTTGGCTTCAGTTCACAGACCTGATTTAAATCTAGTGATAACGCCCACGCTGCCTCCAAACACCCAGGGGAGGAATCTTTCCACATGGGCTGTGGGAAAGAACAACTCTGTGACCTTTCCCAGCATCTCAGCATCAGTTTGGCTGGGAAAGTTGTATGGTCTGAAAAGGAATATCCCGGGGCTGGAGAAATTCAAACATCCAGGCCTCTGGGAAATAGCACAGCTGCTGAAGCAAAAACATCATGAACAACCTCTGCCACAGGTAAATGGAAAGAACTAGAAAAGATCATACTGAGTGATGTAACTAAGACAGAGAAAGGTAAATGTTCTCTCTTGTCTGAGGTCTCTAGCTCCAAATTGTCAGATGTGAGCATATACCTGGACTAGCTACAGAAATCAGGAAAGCAGAAAGGGACCACTGTAGAGGCTGATGATGGGGAGCGATATAGAAGGGAATGGCAGAGTACATGTGATCTGAGAGGGATGGGAAAATGGGACTTTAATTAGGGAGAGGAAAGGGAGATAAATACAGAAGGAGGGTAAAATAACAGGAAAATGTCTGGAAAACTCATGAGGAATCAAGTATCAACTACATACTTACAAATATATGTAATACATGTAAGCATATATGCATACTTTTATAGTATATGTGTATACATATATTTATTTATATATAGTGTAAATAAAATTTTGTCATCTGGGTTGACAATGTTCCCCTGAGAGCTATAGACTAACAGAAACCCAATAATAGGTATAAAAAGTCCGCTTTTAAGTTACTGGCTAGAGTTCTCCAAAAGATTCCCAAAACATAGGTTACTGTTGCTGCCCCTAGTTGCCTTCCAGAGGTGTAAGTTAAGTCCCAATTTCTGAAGACACCCATCTACTTCAGACACAGGGCCCAGAGATTCTTAGCTGGATCTTGCCCCAAACCCTGCTCCCTGAGAACTGGCTTTCATGATAATCAGAAGGTACCATGAAAGTTTCCAAAGAAGAAAAGCAAACAATAGTCCTACTCATTTATGAAGCCCATGCAGCATAGTAATGAACATCATGGTTCCATAACCCTAGAGGTATAATAGTGCCACATACTTTGGCAGTAACCAAAAGCTCTCTACTTGAACTTCAGCCTGGCTCAACAAGAGGGAAATCAGGCCTGGTATTGGAAAGCCAACTACCCAGGGATAGTGAAGTCATGGAGCATGGAGGAGGAGAACATAAGAATTGTCACTTTCCTAAACTGGCATAATTCCTAGCTATATTCTAAATGTTTATGCTTATAACAAAAGATAGGTGTATTTCTATCATCAAAGGAATTTTTCTTTGCAACAGACAGAGAGTATTTCAGAAAAACACAATGGATAAAAGTACAGAATTATGGAGCTCAGTCATAATGGATAACATCTTCAACTGCACTCAAGGCTCAGGGAACATTGTGAAGGGGAGGAGGGCAAAGGCTGTAAGAGCAAAAGGATCAGGGAGTCAAGTATGACACTCTGTTTCCTAGTAAGGTAGCAATTAAGCTACATCCATAAAATCTCACCAACCTGATTGCCTCAATATGACCTGACCAAGAATGACACCATTTTTTAATGTGGAACGGGAAAAGCTCATGAATCCTCAACTTTATACAAAGAACTACAGAAAAATAACAAATGCTGAAAGCAGGAGGCATAGTTTTCCCCAGGGAAGAGTATACCAATTGGTTACACAATACTAGATGGCCAGCCCTGAACACATATATAAAAATAATGTTATACAGACCAAGCAGGTTGTATTTAAGTATTTATGAACATTTTCAATAAAATGAAAGAAAGGGAGTCATGATTTAAAAGAGAGCAAGAGATCCATGGGCTTGAAGGGAGGAAAGAGAAGGGGGGATGGTATAATTACATTATAATCTCAAAAAAATTAAATAGTTATTTACAAAAGAAAAAACGCATGGTACAAAGCTGGGACCTAGACTTCAACTTTATATACATGCTTACCAATTCATTATCACACACCCACCTATCTATCCATATATTCATCCATCCACCCATCCACCCATTCACTCATCTATCCACCCATTCACCCATCCATCCATCCATCCATCCATCCATCCATCCATCCATCCATCCA